TTTTTCCTTCCATTTTTAATTAGAACATTCAACCCTAGGAAATCTGTTCTCCACCGGAACAGTCTTCAAGGTTTGCTGGGGAATTTCCTTATCTGTTCTCCACCGGAAAGCTGTGGGTGGAGGTGAGTGTGTGTGTGTGTGTGTGTGTGTGTGTGTGTGTGTGTGTGTGTCTGTGCTGGGGTAGCACCACATGGGCTCCAGGGGGTGTGGTCTGTGTGTGTTTCAGGGGACCCTGGGGACAGCTTTGTCCTTGTGGCACGGGCTGCCTGCCCCACAGAGGGAAGGCGGCAGTCGGCTGTGCGTGAGCTGTGCACTGTACAGCCGGCTGAGTGACACCTGCTGGAGGTGGGGACCCTCACCCCTCACCTGCAGATCCCACTGCCAGCGCAGCAGAGAGCAGGACCTGCGGTCAGTGCAGGTGGGGCCGGCCCTGCCCCGGGGGTGTGTGTGTCCCTGTGGGCAGTGAGCTGGTGGGCAGGGTGTGCAAGGTCTCCCTGCCTGACACCATCCACGTTCCCTTCGAAGTCCTCAGAGACTGCCAGCCCTCCCCTCCCACCCCAAAACCAAACTCTCCCGTTCCTTGGAGAGAGCAGGAGATGCACCCAACCTGGACTGTGCTGAGCGGTGCGGGGCAGGAGGGCCGAGGGAGCCCGGGGCTGGCCGGGGAGGAGGGCTTGCCTGCTTGCCTCAGTGCCAGGTGCTGGGTCGAGGACGAGAGGGGAGGACAGAGGAAGGGCGCTGCAGGAGAGGGCTGTGGGGCTGGAGGGCCGAGGCTGGGTGAGTGCGGAGCGCCCCTTGATCCAGTCCCGCCCCGCCCGGAAGGCAGGGACCGTAGCTAGCCCTTCCCACTCCCTCTGCACGTGAGCTCTGACAACGACCAGCGTGGCAGACCCAGGCCCAGCGCTGGTGAAAATCTGTTCCTGGTTTTCGCACTCGCCACCCGTCTCCCGGGGGCTGCCGCAGCTTCGAGCTCGGAGCTGACGCCCTCGAGCGGAAAGTGCGGGCTGGATCGGCACGCCGCTCGGAGCGGAGC